GGATTTACGCGAAGAGAAATTTAGGACGACTGATCGACTAAATGGAGTTGATGAAGAGTCACTTGATGGCTCATCGTTCTGCTGTCGCTCTAGAGCATCATTAGGAGAGTTCTATTCTCCTAAAACTACTCCAACATCTCCTGTATACATACAATGCCCGCATCATCTCGATGGAAAGGTTAGCAGGTCAATCAGTTACTCCAGGAAAGCTAATACATTTTGCTGCAGGTGGATGCTGCGTGGATCTCACTTGTGACCGAGTTACAGGACGATGCTGAAGGCGAGCTGACAGCGTACTCAACGTTGCTTTTCACGCAACTTTTCAGGGTCGGTTCTTGTCCTTTCCCTTGGCTCCCTCCCTTGTAGTCCACTTCATTCGTCGTATGTCTTAGTGTATTTGCCAATGCTTAGTCCTCTCAGCACCATGGGATCTCATGGCTCGCGCTATTTTCGTCACGTTGTCACCCGATCGTGCCTTCTAGGCTAATCTCCTTCACCGTATCAGATTACAAATTTGCGCTCTCTGTTCAGAATTTCTTATACTACCTTGCATTTTTCTTGAGTCAAAAGATAATTCTTGGTTTCAGTCTTGTTGTGGACGTGTGGCTTCATTGCTCAGAGATGCGACGCACGTTTTCTCGTCACGACCGTTAGCGCGAATTTTCGCTCACGCTCAGGATACACTGAGTGGAGTTGCAGATTGTCCTTTTTTGTTTGTCACTGCACAATATGTACGTTACCTTTTATCCTCCTTTCTTGGTGAGTTTACTAATTTTGCTTCAGCTTCGTTGCTCTGGAATTCTTCCACGTTTAAAATTGTCCTTATTCGAACTGCGCGAGCACTGGGAAACTTTCAATGAACGGAAAGAGCAGAGCATTCGGGTTTGTGGGAGTTTTTTTCTAGTTGGGCCCAAAGCTCGTTTGTCCCCACATACCATCTTCATTCGCTCCCTCATTGTTTGCCGTTGATGTTTTCCCAGTAGTCATCTGATTGCAAATTAGCCGCCGCTTTCCGACCGGAGGGCGTGGAAATTGACGAAATTCTATACCCAGAGCTTTCGACCTCTTCGCGATGACTCTGAGGAAAGAAAGATCCAACGACTATTGTTGATTTTATTCTTTTCAGCTGCTAAACTCGGTGAAGTCCGCCTACAAGCTGAACGCTCTTGTTGGTTCATCCTCGTCACTCACATCGAACAGTGTACGTAATTCTCGTCATTGACCTGAACACCTGATGAGGAGAGAGCGAGCGGGAAGAGTGCATCTAAGAGATATGATCGCTACCTCGTTGTGAAATGCTTAGTTAGCTCGTAAAATGCGTCAATGGGA